ATTACCTATGGCCTCCTGACATGACAGCCCTCATTTACCTAGCTGTATACCTATACATTACCTATGGCCTCCAGCATGACAGCCCTCATTTACCTAGCTGTACACCTATACATTACCTATGGCTTCCCAATATGACAGCCCTCATTTATCTAGCTGTATACCTATACATTACCTATGGCCTCCCAATATGACAGCCCTCATTTATCTAGCTGTATACCTATACATTACCTATGGCCTCCCAATACGACAGCCCTCATTTACCTAGCTGTATACCTATACATTACCTATGGCCTCCAAATATGACAGCCCTCATTTATCTAGCTGTATACCTATACATTACCTATGGCCTCAGTTACTAACACTACTGTTTACTTATACATCTCTAAGGTTTCCCAACATAAAATTCTCATTTACTAACAGTACTGTTTACTTATATATCTCAGTGTTTTACAAACCTTAAAGCTCTCATTTACTAACAGTACTGTTTACTAATATATCACTTAGGTTTATCAACATAAAATTCTCATTTACTAACAGTACTGTTCAATAATATATCTCTAAGGTTTCCCAACTATAAAGCTATCATTTACTAACAGTTCTGTTTACTTATATATCACTAAGGTTTCCCAACATAAAATTCTCATTTAGTAACAGTACTGTTCAATAATATATCACTATAAAGCTATCATTTACTAACAGTACTGTTTACTAATATATCACTAAGGTTTCCCAACATAAAATTCTCATTTAGTAACAGTACTGTTCAATAATATATCACTATAAAGCTATCATTTACTAACAGTACTGTTTACTTATATATCACTAAGGTTTCCCAACATAAAATTCTCATTTACTAACAGTACTGTTCAATAATATATCACTATAAAGCTATCATTTACTAACAGTACTGTTTACTAATATATCACTAAGGTTTCCCAACATAAAATTCTCATTTACTAACAGTACTGTTCAATAATATATCTCTAAGGTTTCCCAACTATAAAGCTATCATTTACTAACAGTACTGTTTACTTATATATCACCATAAAACTCATTTACTAAGAGTACTGTTCACTTATGTGTCTCTTAGGTTTTCCAACCATAAAGCTCTCATTTACTAACAGTACTGTTCATTTATTTATCTCTAAGGTTTCCCAACCATAAAGCTGAGTCTCATTTACTAACCATCTCATATACTAACAGGTCTAATTTACCTAAAGCTAATCCGAAATGAACTTTCCCAACAAATATTTTTCTCACATATAAAAGTTTTCTACTAATAAATCTAAAGCTCACTCCCTGGCAATTAATCTCAGCTCAGAGGATCAATACATTCTATACAGTATGAAGGGCTTTTACTATAATTCTATAAAAACCTACAGCTCATGTTGTTCAACATTTCAACAAAACAATTTCTTTAGTACTCAACAATTCCTAACTTATATCTTCAATAAAGGTGAGACATTGGTCAATTATAGCACAATTAAAAGATTAATTATGATAATTTGTGACAGTTAACCTTAAACCAGTGCTGCAACTGAAAGTGAGTAACCTCAGCCAACAGTATAAAGACAGGCCAGCCTGCACATCAAGACTCTTGACTGTTGGCTGACCAACTTTAGATTTTCATCTTAATATCCCTTAAATTGTTAATGGACAGGACAAGTCTGTTTAATAAATTTAGAATGTTATTGGTTTAAATATATTGCTTACTCTTTCTTGCAATAATAACACCAACATGCACATGGACAAACTTTAACCTCCAAATTAGCTTATGATGCTAAATAATATTTCTAAAAACAAGATTAGTTTAAATTTCAGTCATTGCACGTTTCAGATGCTATGTAAATTACATGTATGGGGTAACTAGGTTAAGAAATGGGAAGGAAACATCCTATTCCTTTATGGCAACTTTATCTGTAAACGTGTAACAACATGTCATCATTTTAAAACCAAACAATGATATGACCATAATTAAACACAAATGCCCAAAAATTTAGAACAAAAAAGGAAGAGTCATCAAAATTTACAACTTAATTTCCAGACTTTGAAACATACCCAATATCAATTTAAAGCATAAAATACTAACACACAGATTTTCACTGAAGGACACCTGTTGCAATATCACTGATGAAACAACATCAATAAATTCAACAAAAGGACTTAAATGTTTTATTTTAACTATCATGTCCATTGTCAATAGAACTACAAGATACAGTATACACAGATTAATGCCACTATATCTACCTAGTTTCATCTATGAAGGACAATAATTTGTTGGCTAATCATGGCAATTTAAGCATTTGACTAACTTGTAACTCAGATTCATTCTTCCGTTTAATGTCTTTATAAGGTTCACTTATTTGTCTGGTAAATTTCGTACAGAAAGAATCATCTATATTACATAGCAAGACAAAATATCGCTTAAAAGCCACAATAAGAAATGCTGGCAAATTAGGAGGATCTATATAATTGCTTGTTAGAATTTGCCAATGTTACCAGAAAAATCCATTAAAGATGAATGCAAGGAAAGATGACAGGATCTCATATATATGAAATATTCAGACATATTCTGTACATATTTCGCTTGATGATAAATTGTAGTAAGCAAATTAGATTTACCAAACAAAATTCAGACTCTTAATGTTAGAGGCTGCATCAAATATGACAATTTCTTTTATTTGGATTCTTAAGTCAATATTATAAGAGAAGATAATAATTAAGGAATCCAAGTTGGTTTATTTCTCTGAAATCAATCAATGTTTACTTTAGTAAAATTTTGTATGTCATACAAGTCATCTTAAAATTGACATAATTATCAAATCTCATCTTAAAGGTCCATTATGTCCCAGAAATGCTTTCACTTTTTTAATTTTTTAATTTATGTAATTCAATTGCCTTAAATTATATAAAAAAATAATCAAGACAAATACAGTAAATCTTTTCACTTTTTGCAATTTCTTCAAGTACAGCTAAGCATCTGGGTAGACTAAATCTTACTAAGCCCACTTGTCTTGTTTAGCTTAATAAGGAGAGCATCAGAGGTTGCTAGTTTGATCCTCTGTCAAGGTAAACTTTCTCCATGATAATTGATCTGATGGTCACTTGACTCTCACTGCTTATTCAGAAATTATGTGTGAATGGTAGTCAATAACTTGTGAAGAAATTGGTAATTTACTGGTTAGTTATCCAGGAAAGCAAATAAGGTAGATCAACTGCTAGGATGTGACAAAAAAATGCTGAATTTGGCTTAAATACAGAAATAAACAAAGAAACAATATGTTTGATTGTCTGTGTTTTAATGTATTAAATGGGAGAAAGGCTGGAGGCTACACTTTATACAATACAGCAGTACTGTGTCTGTCACTAACTACATGTACAATGACATCCAGTAGAGAACCTTATATAATTACATGTCTACACCACAACTTGTACTGATGTGAATTAATCATACCACTCATGAATATTCCAGCAATATAGTTTTGGTGTCTGAACACTACCCATAAATATTGCTGTATTTTTATTGATTTAACAATTTACCAAATAGGTATGACGTAATAGTTTGGCATTTAGATGGTCATAATTGTTCACTTTTCTGTGTATGTTTTGTTGATCTTACATAAAACTGAAGACGGAAAATTATGCACTACCATTGCAATTAATACTGACTACAAATAACATAACAAACATAACAAACACAACAAAAAACATTACAAAATAAAACAAAATATATTACAAAAAAACATAAAAAAGACAGAAATTAACTCTTGTAGCATAAGTTGCCGTATATGACATAATCATTATAATTATTTAATAAGGGCTTATAAAAAATAACAAGTAATAGGAATAACAGAGATACTAGATGTGACATAAAAAGACATAAAGTTTCTACATATTTACTGACATTATGACTGTAAGTAATTCATTGATGTATAAACTAGAAATCATAGTAATCTATTTATTACATTGATGACACATGTTATTTATTATTCAAACATAGTGAACAGTTCACAAGAATGGCATAAGAAGAAAAGACTGTCATCTTGTCAGACAAGCAGAGAGAAAATTTACTATTTTTTTGCTATCAGGCTAGTGATAATTGCTACCATTTCATTTTATGCATTTGTAATTATTGAATTCTTATAATAAAATCAATATAAGTATGTAATTATATCAAGATTGTAGTCAAAGCATTGTAATATATAATTTTGTAGCAACAAAATTAACTTCACTGAAAAACTTGTTTTCACGTTCAGTTCTATTACATTAAGGACATAATGGTTACTAAAGGTTGTCCACTATAGACAACAACCTCAACTATTGTAATTATTTGACAATGATGTAACACCCTAGACAGAGTTATATACTATTACTTAAACATATGGAATATAGATCACAAATAATTATTCAATTATTGCACACCTAAATTATGCTGCTTGTAGATCAATGTATACCGGGATCAACTTGCACACCCATGCCGGCATCAAATCATGATCTACACTGTTCACTATTCAGACAGTAGGTAATATACAAAATTTTCCATACAGAAATGATGAAAAGTTTAGTTAAGACTGAAAGCCCATTTAAAATATTTATCATGGTAAAGATTATGGTATAATTATGATCAATAATTTAATATATTCTTCTATGTATTAGTTTTTATTCTTTCATGGGACACTATTTATGGTAGTATAAAACTATTTACATCCCATGTAATACACATTACATATTCGTCCAAATCTTAATGAAGTACAAGCATACTGATATCCTAGAGCTACCAACTAACATCATCAAAAGGTCATTTAACTTGTTCTCTAGACTATACAGTCTATTCATTATGCAAAACAAGATGCTGACTTATTAATCTGGAGACAGAGCCAAATTAAGAAGAAATTTGCCTGTGTTAAGACAAGAAATAATCTGACACTTTTACAAGATTATATGAGATTACATTGTAAAGCAAATGTTATATTAATTGTCAGCAGTTTTATAATACTAACCTCAGATCTATGGCCACGAAGATTAAAGTTGGATCTATTAGGAGGATCATACTTCCTACAATGACTTGCTGTAAATGTTGCCCCAACAATACCCTTAGCATTTCCACTGGCCAACCAGCCCTCACTGTAATACTGGCCTCGGTTTAACTTCCAGCCACCATTTGTGTCTCCTGGCAACAAGGAATCTGGAACTTTTCCCATCCATGACAAAGAATGTATAGTACACTCTGTTCGTGAGGAGATGTTTTGCTCAAAATGTAAATACATTTTTTTCTCCCTTCTTTCAAATACCTTTTAAGCTCAGATTTTCATTATTCAAGGAAGAGATAAATTACTTCTGACAACTGGAGACATTGAGATTTACAGAGACTTGCGTGATCACTTCCATGCAACATTAACACAATTCAAAGAAATCTCAGAAATTTTCCAAAGTAATATCCTCAGTATATCAAATTACAGTGCCGTCATTGTTCAGTTCTGAATCTAAACAATTGAATTCAACAGTAAGACTCTCTGAATTTCAAAATGTCTTAGGATGAACCATATTCAGGCAAATTTGATTGCTATTAAATTACAGGGAGATATTCTAAAATACCTCTATTTTTATCCTTTGATCATGCTGAATTAACTTATTTCCGAGAATCTAGGCTATCAAAATATCTAAAAACATCAAACTCCAATTCTGCAGTAATCCAGTTATCTTCTGTTCTTTTCACCTGTAATGACATTAAAACTGATTAATAAATCATTATTTCAAAATCAATTTTGATTAAATAGTAAACTCTCAATGTAATTGTTTGCTTTTCACAAGATTACCTCTCCCTTAAACAATACTCAAAAGGGAGGGTAAAGTGACTGCCTTTTAATCTAAGGATAATGTGGGTTCAAGCTGTATGTGTATATGGGATATGATGCTAGAAAGCTACCTGTTCTAATAAGCTTCAAGCTTTCATCAGAAAATAAAAAAAATTAGTTTATACACCTCTCCCAATCTCTCCATTTCCTTTAACATTCCAACTCTACACTGAATTTTAATAATAAACTAGCCTTACTTCGAGTATGAAACTGTTTATTGATAGTTTATCAAATACAGAGCATCTAACAATTAACAGTAAAGTATCAAAATATTGAATAATTTCTATAACAACCTAACAATTAATTACTACATTTTTATTACATTATATTATTGTCAAAATTACTGTCCAGCATGTTTATTTGATTATTTTTGTTTATCAATTTTGATAGACTTACAGCCTTTGGAACTAATTTAAGAACATCATATATAATCAGCTTTATATTTCAATGGCATTGATCAGTCTTTTAAATTCTTTCAAGTGAATTTATAATTTAGAAAATGTTACCGAAAAAATTTGAAGAAGATTTATTATTTGGTTCATGTAACAAAGGTCTAATCAGACAGTGATTTATAGATTTGATATCCAAATTCAGTGATCATCCTTATTTATTTCAATAAACTGGAGTGTTAGAAAACAATTAATGTTACATTACTTACATGATTTATTTACTATATAGCCTTATGAGACTTGAAAGAATAACAATTTGTTATGTTGGCCAGCTGACATTATCAAACTGCCTTTAAATGCATTTAATGGGTGTGATGTTTTATTATATAGTTTTCTTTTAAAGGTTTATCTTGAATATTGTTAAGTTTGGTATAACAGAATAAATATTACATCCCACTAAGGTTGACAGAACAAATGTTCACCCTTGACAAGAACCTCAGTCAAAGCCTCAGTTGACATCACCTGTCTTGGGTGTCACCCTCAGAGGGCTGTGATATTTAAATATGTTACTGATCCAGCCCTGTGAAACTTCACTGTTTAAATCCTTACCTTACTGTAACATAGTGATAAACAAGTGTCACCAGTATACACGTCCGTTTAACTCACAACGAGTGAAAAATGTCCATCGGTTAAAATGTTGTGAGCAACTTCCGTTCCTCGTTGTGAGCACCCATCTTTGACGTGTGACACGATAAACAAGGTGAGTTTTTCATAATTTTTGAAGATTACAGACATTTATGTAAAAATATCGAAATGCAGTTAGCTAGCGATGTGTTTTCTGAGTATGCACATGTAAAGATATTGCCTGTTGGTGGACAATTTGATGGAAATACCGTGCGACGCAGTCACTCGGGGTAGCAGGAAAACTGGAGACAACTTCTCTTTGGACCTAATTTAACATTGAAAACGTCGATTCTGGTGAAGTTTTGTGCATTCTAACCTAAAACAGATGCCCACAAGTCTTCAGCGAAAATTATTATCTGAAAGTCTTCATAGAAACGAAGATATACCCTTTTTCCATCAAATTGTCCACCAACAGGCAATATCTTTACATGTGCATACTCAGAAAACACATCGCTAGCTAACTGCATTTCGATATTTTTACATAAATGTCTGTAATCTTCAAAAATTATGAAAAACTCACCTTGTTTATCGTGTCACACGTCAAAGATGGGTGCTCACAACGAGGAACGGAAGTTGCTCACAACATTTTAACCGATGGACATTTTTCACTTGTTGTGAGTTAAACGGGCGTGAGTATAGAAGCAAGCTCTATACTTTAAAGGTATAATAAGAAGTATCTCACCATTAAGGAGACATATTATATGTTTGTGATGATAAGTGCTGATTGAGGTAAGCTTTACAAAACTCTGTATATTTTCAGCACCTAGATAATATTTACAGTGACTGCTTGTACATTATTAAATATGTATAATTTTTATATTCTCAAAACAAAAGCCTTTTTTCCTCATTTTTTAAATCTAGAGAGGAATTCTGCATAGAGCGACATATAATACAAATTCAAGCAAAATAGTTTTTTTTTCTATTGCTGAAAGTAATTAGCTATATCAGATTAACAGTACTGAATTTAATTAATTTACCTTGCAGGTTGTTAACAGTGATCGTGGTGATTATGATTTAAACTTTTTAGCAATGTGATGATCAAATTTCAAATGTTTATTCCCATTTAAATTTTAGAAAGAATATTAAGTTTTGTAAAAACTGCATACTACAATATTTAGTATAATAATGCAACAGTGTAAAAATGATAAATAACTAAACCTTTAAAATGTGGAAAAAAATTGTATTTAGGATCAAATATTCAGAAACTGATTTCTTCAAGATGTTGATTAGTTTCAGGTTTTTATATGACAGAGTCACATATCACTGTAATAAATGAATAAGATTAAATCTCTTATCTACTGGGAATATGATGTTATTTCTTATTTCACTCAAAATATGCAATTTTGTATTTATAGTTATTTTACTTTATTGATTGCTGTAAGAAAATCATGATATTGAGACTAAGCTCTGGACATATTAGTTTCCAAGGTAAGGTTTTTAAGACATTTTTACTATATAATTCATGTTAACTAGGTGATCCTTATCAAACCCCATTACTTATATAACTTTTGTACAACTACAATAGTCTTTTCTTGAAAATCTGCCAGACAAAAAAACTTTATTCAGTCAAATAAAAATCAGATTTAATTGAATGAATATGAAATACAGATATCAGTAACCCTATTATTATTATTAAGGACCTCAATGCACCAGAAAAATTAAACATAAAATGAATGAATGAAAATCCCTAAAATATAAGACAAAATCTCACTTATTGTAAACCAAGAATGAATGAAATCTTATACAAAAAAACTATTATCATACAATACTGTAATATGACCTCAGGTGTTTAATATTACTCGTGTATAGTACACAACCTCAGGTGTTAGCACTAATATATATCAATGTCTACAAGCAATTGTAACAAACCAAATAAGATATGTATATAGGAACAGAACAGATAACATATGTCACAGGGTGAGGAAAAAGTGCAGCCTGACAGGGACTCAAACCTGGGACCCTAGAAATACCATTCCGCCGCTCTACCCACTGACCTATGTGGCCACTCACATATCTGCTCCCCTAAATAGTGAACAGTTCTGATTTGTGGCACATACAAATGTAACTCAATTATAGTTTTAAGATGCCATATTTTATTTCATTATTTTACAGTAGAAGACTATAGATTAAATATAAGAAAGATAATAAAACATTGGGGAAGAAATAACCCTTTTATCTCACACCTTAACTCTATTTAATGATACGCCCTAGTTTTTTCTTAACCCAGATGATCTGTATTCATCTTTTAATTTAAATATCTTCAAGATAATTTCACTTGATAGAAATAGTGGTCTTTAGTGTTAAAGCTGTAGCCTCCAGATTCATGCCAATTTGTCTTACAATTTTGAAGATGCATTTAAAAGTAAAATATTGCAAAGTGAGCAAAGTTATTACAAACGGCACTTACAATCCACATAAATGACCAAAAAGAGGTCAAAATATGCAAAAATAGCCCTTATTGCTTTAGTCACACAGCAAAAATATGATGATAAACACTGCAAAATCAGTAATTAATTGTACATTACATGTAAATTATTACTTAAATCTTGGAACTTTGACTCTTCTTAAAATCTTAGTTAATTTTCTCAAGTTTTATTTTCTTTTAATATTTCGACTCATCTTGAGGCTTAAAGAATATTTTTTCTCCACTGTATTGACCTGGTGACCTAAATTATAAGCCAAGATGACCCATAATTGATATGTCATGATTTACATAAAGACAATGTTTCTGTTCCTGATATGTTTTACCTGCCAGCCACTTCCACAATATATAACATTAAACCCCAGTCACACTAGAGCTTACGATTACTTGCGACCACCGGCTACTTGTAAAAATGACGATCATCGGCGATTGTCTGCGACCAAAACCCTTTTTGCACAGATAAATTTACTTCTGCGACTATCTTAAGACCAGTCATCATTGACAATCGCATGACAGGTCATAAGCAAACGTACGATGGTCTCAAGATTGATTGGGATTACTTACGACTACCAGTGACCTGTCATGCGATCACCTACAACTTGTCCTACAACCATCGCACGATAACTCAAGGTTACTCAAGATTATCAGTGACTAGTGGAAATTTGTAAAGACTGTCGTAAGATTGTCGCACTTCCGAACGATGATCATGAGACAGCCTAAGACCTTATAAGATCCCTAGCGACCTGTTTAATCGCAGGGAGGTTTTTGTGCAAGCTCTAAAACCTCTCTACGACTGAAATTGGTCTTGGGACCTAAATAAGATAACCTGCGACTGTCAAAGATCACTGATGACCGTCATAAGATGTTTTAAAGATTGTCCGCGACCAGAGGTCACTGGTGATCATGAACTGGTCTTCACTGATCGTAAGCTCTAATGTAACTGGGGCTTAAGGTACTTGATATAACTGTATGATTGTATTAAACTGTAAGGTGTAATACCTGTTTATTAAACAACTTTAATATCCTGATTTTCAGATAATTTTATTATAAGGTACAAAATGTAGATGAAATGGCATGTTATTAGATTACAAAACCTCACATAATAATAGAAATAAAACTTATTTATTATATTGTAAAGTATATTTATTTGATCAAACTTTCTTACAGCATCAGGTAACTTTGATCTATGTATTTTAAGTAAAATTACATCTACCTAGATCTATTATGTTTTTATCACTCACCACAATTATCTGACAATAAAAAGTAAGGTAAATTTCTGTTGTTTTTTACTTGATAATGTAGCTCTATAACCCCTGTGGACTTATGAAAATATAATAAATAAAATTGCATGTAACCTTATACAATAATTGCAGTTTATTATTTGTCTTTATATGAATAAAATTGGCCTTTACTCTGATAATACAATTTTGAAGTCATAGGGTTACTGTAATGAGGGGAAAAAATAATTGAATCACTTAATACAGCAGTAGCCTGTTTCAATGACTCGACTTACTGGATCAGTAACAAACTGTATAAAATCAAGTCAATAATGCACATCTCCCAATACTTTCACACTAAACACACATAAATGGGTATTCTCATTGTAAAGATGTTATCACAATATAACATTAATTTCTAAAATAGAGTAAATCCACAATTTCCAATAAAATAAATGAGAGTAATCCCATTTGTTACCACAAACACAAAGATACATTTAAAGCACTTTAAAACAAATTAATATTTGTGAAAGCTTGTATTGGTTAAACCTGTCCAGTAAAAATTGATTATCTTGTTTTAATTATCTAAAGTCAGCTAACATACAGGTAATGTTATCTAAGCAGAGATTAAAACATCAATATTTAATTTACCTGTAACTTCCATTCTAATAGCAGCATGTAACTTGTTGTTTCCCTCATGGAATCTTGGCCTGCTGTTAATCAGAGAGCACTGGCTGTATCATCTTACATAATTATACTGTATGACTAACAAGTGTTTGTGTGAAATTCTGTTAGCAAGTTTGTCAACTTATGTCAAGCAAATTATCACAATGACCTATGAACAGTTTATACACTCAATACACCACAGTTTTGTAGAAATCAAGTGTTGATGAATTCCAAGAACTCTATCTCTTCAAGCACACATGTGATCTGAAAATTGAAAATAAACATAACATAAATGTAAGAGTGCCATTGTCACAAAATATGCTGTTAAAACAAAATATGCTGTTAAAAAGCTAAGAGCTGTTAAAAATGCTAAGTCGAATGATATATATCTTTATATATAATCTGACCTTTTACCTTTGCATGTGACCTTGACCTTGGTTATAAAGAACTGAAGTTTGCTTATATCATGTGACACTTAGTTATCTAAGTGGGGCAATATAACTGATAAAATAGTCCTGTCCAGTTAAGAATTTCTTTCATAATCATTTTAAAAAAATATTATTTTTAACTGGATAAAATGTAGATCCTGCTCATTCAAGTAAATATCCCCATGATTTCTGAATAAAAATCAGTAATTTTTTCATTAAGAGAAGTTTCAAGTTTAAATAGTCATTGATATTTCAAATTCACACATAATAAACTGTTTATAAGAGCTGAAAATCGCTCTGAAATTGAATGAAGACATACTTATGACTATATCATACAACAAGACCTGTCCCTGGACAGCACAGTGCTGGATGATAAAATTAAAGCAGTTGAAAAGGAGGCATAACTTTGCAAAAATCTTGGAGGGTTATCTGCAGTTTTAAATGATGGTGAATGTACTTTAAATACATGTAATCTGGATAGCTTTGTTAACAAAAAGGTTAACTGACAGTGAGTGGAGTCATGATAATATTTACTCAAACAGAGGAGCTAAAAATCAACTAGAGATAAGCTGTAAATCTATGTGTCATTACTTCAATAATAACATTTATATGACAGCAGAATTAATATAAAGTTAGTTATGGCTAATATACTGGTGATACAGAATTATCATTATATCACACAAAACATTGAGATAACTAATTACAAGATATTACATGACAATCCAGTAAAAGGTCATTGTAAACCAATCAATACAACAATGTACAATGAGTCATTTTAAAATCAATACCAACACTGAAATCATCCTATCAAAGAAACTGGTAGCAACCAAAAAATCAAGAGCTTAAAAAAACATTCTATTGATTTGCTCTGTGCAACACACAGGTTCTTGAAGACAGTCTGTGGTGTAATTTTTGAATGACAATGCTGTTTTTCTTGACTTCAAGTGTTGTTCATTTTCCTAATTCTTCCTTTATGTATGAAGAGCTTATAATGTCGATACTTGAGCAGAATATATCACTGGATTAATCGTAGTAATCTAGTATACAATGTCATAAAATAACATTGTCTCAAATATGAAAAGAATATCAGAGCTTTCTAACTTGAAGTAACTGACTAGTTAGATCAGATATACATTATTGGAGAGTTTATTTGAAATTAAAATATAAATATTTAAAGTGACCTTTATCTACATTCTTTTCAAATTAAAGTAACAGGTGCTGGTACATCAAATAAAGTTGCTAGATTGTATATCCTATATAAATAAAAGTAAAATGAGGGATCTTAAAACACATGAGACATATTAAAATGTTGCCATTGATTTATCAAGAATATAGACAATTTAAAACAAATCATACAAACATAATCTATAATGCTATAAAGCAAATTGTCATATGTCACTGGTGTCTAAAGTTATCCTTACCATCAATATTAATATGAATTTTTCTAAACATTTTATTTTATATTCAGCATAATCATATTGCTTTGTAAAAATAAGATTCAGGAAATCAGTACAGGCTGGATATGAAAAAAAATTATGTATCATACATGAGAAATCATTATGTGTTACTGTATAGAGCATTACGGCAGCAGTGCTTGCTAGGGTCAATTTAACTGTAAGGAAGGAAATAAAATACCGAGTTTCTTTAATCTTTACAATTTAGAAACACAATATCAGCAGGGATTTCTGTTCTTACAATTTTCAAGACCCAAGTATGTACAAGGGTTCCTGTTTGTTCACATGAACTGACCAAGTAATTGACTTACTATTCTCAATACAATCAAAGGAAAAACTTGTTATAACTGATTAATCAAATCATACAACTAAAGTGCTAGTTGTCAAAATAACTTATTTGAGATTTACTTAGTGAAATTATTGTGCTGAACAACTTTGTTGTGCGTAAATTATTTTCTAAAAAAACTTACATTTACTTTCTTGAAATCCTGTCAAAGGCTTAGAATAATACATGCCAAATTAATCATGCTAATCAAACAAATACATAGAATTATAATGGAAATATTTAGAAACATGTAAACAATACATTGTATCTAAATTAATAATAACTTTGCTAATTATCAAACAAATTATTTTTTCACCATATCAGGTCACATATACCTCACAGTTTACAATGAATATAAATCAAAAACATTTATCATTAAAAAATATATGTGTATCAAAATATCCAAATTAAACAAACACTGCTTAATGCAGATGCAATATTTATCCTTTTATTTCTGTTTTCCTAATTTCTGAACATCAAAAAGTGAAATATACTTCACCATGTAACTTTAATCTACATAAGAGGGCATTAAATTAAAGAATATAACAGCAAGTGTTAAATTAACTATTAAAATGAAGAAAAGGAATAAAATAAACAAGGTCTTACCATTTTATTTTAATGTTACTACAGCAAGGGATGAAGCAAAAATATCCAGTCAATATTACAATCAATTAGGAATTAATTATTCATTAAAACACACCTCATAGTTAGATGAACACATAGAACAGTATTACATTAAAATCCAATGTTACTATTATTGAAGTTACTTTCAGCGTGACAATAGCAGCCAAAAATAACACCATATAAGTGAAAATATTCTAAACAATAACACCTACACATAGGAAGTTTTCCAAAAGTGGTTTACTCTTGACAGTGTCAATAAATTCCACAAATAAATACTGGTACCTACATGAGTAAATAATGTTGCCCACTTAACAAGCGATCCGATCTCAGTATAGCAGTGAATATATTCCTGGCAGGAGATACTTCAATATTGGGAACCAGTCACAATAACTTCTTCTCTAGAATGTCTTACAAGACTAAAGCCTGAAAACAGACAGGGATAAAAAAGTGAAATTCAATACATGGCTGTCACAACTTCTTCCAGCCACGATGCTTTATTGGCCTATAGCTAATCATGGGTAATATCATGAATACTTAAAAGTACTAATTGTTTTCCATGTTCAATATAATTGCATCCAAATATTGATAATGCTTGTGTAGGCTAATATTGACATAACACTGAATTGGCTTTTGTACCAACAAAAAATGTACAACACAACTTCATAAAACAACAACAACAGCAAAACATCACGCCTTTGCAGGAATACTTATTATTAAATATAAATGAGGTCACAGATTATTAAAAGATGAATGGCAATAATACAGACTCATAACTTCACTCTTTGACAGTGACAACAGACAAATTACAACAAGAATTAAATCAGTCTGGTCTGAAAATATGTGCATTATTATTAGTATCAAATTGTATCACAAATCATCAGTGAGAAGCAAATAATGATTCAGCTCAATGTCTGAGATAATTTGTCACTCACCCGAGAAGATAACTAGCAACCCTTGGATTATAAATGTGATGCTTTCCCTGACAGAAAATAAAGTAGAGCTTTAAGAACTCCTTCAAGAATACCATCCTAAAACCTCCCAACAAAGATAAAATGGGCAGATATCAATCAATACATGTAAAATTGAATGCAACTTGTTGAGTCATATAACAAGTTGATATCAGCTACCTTGTATAATAGATAACAAAACAAGACTGTTTAACAGAGGTGACAGACACTCTTACAATTGTGATGTTGTTTTATTTTACATTGAAATACTTCAATTTATTAAGAAATTTACAATTGTAAATTATATATATCATTGACAATAATTTATAATTTTTTGCATGTTTTGCCAACAAGTTCATGGAGAATGCGAGCAGGAATTAAACTTCAGTTGTATCATAGTTTCGGGACCTTTCTGTTGAAAATGTGTCAGAGTTAAATTGTATACATATACATGCACAGTGGGTTTACTGGAGTGCACTCCAGAGTATACCCATTGATTGGCTTATTTTTTCTAGGGTTTACTTATTTCGACGACAGGGAAAGAGATAACGATAGAAAAGGGGGTGCCGGGGGTCAACGGGGCTACACCCCCTAATGGCACAAATCAGATAACCTTGTGTTTCGATGCTCTTTCTATTACTTAATTCTACTTTGTTAGGTAGTTTCTCATTTTGCTCATTTTGCAAGTTCATTAAATTACTTGCAAAAAGCTGCTAGCAGAAACAAATGTAAAATTCTTATCAAGAAAGGTGGCCCTAAATACACTGTCTGTGATCAATTCACAAACTTTATTGTTCATTAAAAGAGGCCTATGACACAAGTTTATATGTATATTATATCTGTGACTTACATGACTTAATTTAATCACATATAAAATAAGTAATAATTGTAAGGTAGTTATTACACTATCTTAACTAATTACCATTTAGTGCTGTGAAACCTGTTATATCAATAAAACAGAACAGTGTACCAGTGCCTATCAAGTTACCAACAGTAACATACTAACATATCCATACATATATGTTAACAGGGATTGAAAATTTTTTCCATAGCCAATCGTCTTGCAGGACTAATGTAAGTGTCTTCTAATTGCTACTTGTCCATGTAGATAATTTGAATTGTTAATTATTCAAGGGTTAAGTATAATACATTGATTTGTCAAGTCAATATTTATATAATTTGTTATGTTCTTTACAGATATCATCAAAAGGAATTTTCCGCATGTCACACCAGTGATGGTCAGGGAAAAGCTGCGTGATATTGTCAAGCCATCTCCTGCCAACAAAACAGTGAAACAATAAATATGTGTACAAAATAAACTGTGGCCATTTTAGCCATTCAGAACAATATAAATGAGAACATTTGAGAACTTGTTTTACTTCATATATGGTGTAAATAAATCTTTAATGTGTCATAATTTTACAGCCTTGTCAATTCAAAATCATTGTTACACTAGTGCAACTCCCAAGTGAAAAAGATTGTGTGGGACCTTTTTTTACAGACTTTTAAACAGGTATCTCAACACAAGTGTGATATCATGGACATTGACCATGGATGTTATAAAAGATTTCTCAAAATTTGTTTTGAACATGGATAGAATGGACATTGTCCAGAGAAAGAATGGACATTGTCCATGGAAAGAATGGACATTGTCCATGTTAAGAATGGACATTGTCCATGGTAAGAATGGACATTGTCCATGGACATCATGGACATTGTCCATGGGTATCATGGACAATGGACATGGAAAGCATGGACATGGATAGCATGGACACTGTCCAGGGATATAAAGAATTGTCCATGGACAAGTGTTTCAATACTCCATGGACACTGTCCATGCTTATATCCATGGAAATCCATGGACATTCTGTAGCCGGGAGACAGACACTCTTTCAATTGTGATGTTGTTTTATTTTACATTGAAATACTTCAATTTATTAAGAAATTTACAATTGTAAATTATATATCATTGTTCTGTAACTATGTACACACTGCAACATTTAGTAATAAAGTTTGTTTGTTTGTTTCATTTAACACCTTTTCCAAACAGTATTTCAGTCATATAGGCGGGTAGTTTCCTAACCATTGTTCCTGGAGAGTTACGTCAGTACTAGACTACCTTCCTCTGCGCTAAACTACCAAAGCATCACCGGGGATCGAACCCACACCAGAGAGGTAACTGGATTAGAAGTCATCGACTCTAACCCCTCGACAAAGTTAGAAGGTATTCTGAACAAGCAGACCAAAAATGAAGAGTAATAAAAAAATATTCACAATATTTTATAGCAGTAAAATAATATCCAAATAGATATTAAAATATTCTAATATTATATAAAGGATCTATTTTTTTATAAAAAAAAAGTCAGATCAAAATGTCAATCAAAGTCAAGGTCAGTTCAACCTTTCAGAAGGTCTTGTCCAAAATGATGTTTTATCAAAGAATGAAGATAATCCATTTATTCACAACCTAGTTACAGGCAATTATAGCAAAAAACAGTGAAAATTCAATAATTTAACCTTCAAGGTCAAGGTCATGAAAAGGCTAAGGTCAATTTGAGTTTGATATTCATGAAGGTCTTACCCTAAAGAATGTTCTGTTATAATATGAAATCAATCAATCAATAATAAAGTTAACATCCAATTAATTTAAATTAAATTTAATTAATTTGCCGTCAAGGTCAAATATGTGAGAAGGTCAAGGTGTGTCTGGTTAACTTAAAAGGCTACGCTACGCTTAAAGATTATTATGTTCAAGTTTGATGACAATCATTCACAAATAACAAAGTTAAAGTCACTAAAAGCAAGAAACAAGCAAAGATTTGGACATTTGACCTTGAAGGTCAAGGTCATTTATAGATGAAAGTCAAGGTAAGTCTGGTCTACTGAAAGGTCGTGTCCTAAAGGCTGTTGTGGCCAAGTATGAAGACAATACACCAAGAACCTTACAAGTTATAATCAACATACAAGTTTGTGGACAGGGACGGAAATGCAACGGCAAGGCCGACATGACTGTAACAATAACTCTACTTTTTTTTCAACAAAAAAGACAAGCTAAAAATAAAACTTTTGAAACAAAGTTTGTTTACAACATGGCTGAGAAAACCAACCACAGATTACCTTCAAAATCATAAATTTTATAATTATTTCATATAACAAACTCAGACAATAATTTATAATTTTTGCATGGTTTGCCAACAAGTTCATGGAGAATGCGAGCAGGAATTAAACTTCAGTTGTATCATAGTTTGGGGACCTTTCTGTTGAAAATGTGTCAGAGTTAAATTGTATACATATACATGCACAGTGGGTTTACTAGAGTGCAGATATTAGTTACCAGCACTCCAGAGTATACCCATTGAGATTGGCTTTTTTTTCTAGGGTTTACTTATTTTGACGACAGGGAAAGAGATAACAATAGAAAAGGGGGTGCCGGGGGTCAACGGGGCTACACCCCCTTGGCACAAATCAGATAACCTTGTGTTTCGATGCTCTTTCTATTACTTTATTCTACTTTGTTAGGTAGTTTCTCATTTTGCAAGTTCATTAAATTACTTGCAAAAAGCTGCTAGCAGAAACAAATGTGAAATTCTTATCAAGAAAGGTGGCCCTAAATACACTGTCTGTGATCAATTCACAAACTTTGTTGTTCATTAAAAGAGGCCTATGACACAAGTTTATATGTATATTATATCTGTGACTTACATGACTTAATTTAATCACATATAAAATAAGTAATAATTGTAAGCTAGTTATCAACACTATCTTAATTAATTACCATTTAGTGCTGTGAAACCTGTTATATCAATAAAACAGAACAGTGTACCAGTGCCTATCGAGTTACCAACAGTAACATACTAACATATCCATACATATATGTTCATACATGTATAACTGATATAACATGAGGTTTGTGAAGAGTTAATTAAAGTGTATTGATTGGAAGCAGTTAATGGTTGTTCATTCACGCACACATCACTATAACAAGCAGTATTGTAGGCTGGTACATTCACAATAACAGTTTTCTACATTTGGCCTTTCATGATGGAAATGAACCCAATTTACCTTAATTGGAAAACTTGAACCTTAATATCATAACATAACAAAGAAATAAGCAGTAAATGTGATAAATTAAATGATTACAGTTAATAATTATTTGTCTGACTTTTATTTCCTCTACAACTTATACAAATTTTAAATAGCCCAAGACTGAACCTAGGCTAGTTCACAGCCAATTAAACAAATTGTTCAAGCAGGCTTCAATAGTACACAGTCCAATTTACAAGCAAGCTTCAATAGTACACAGCCCAATTTACAAACAGGCTTCAATAGTACATAGCCCAATTTCCAACAGGCTTCAATAGTAAACAGTCCAATTTACAAGCAAGCTACAATAGAACAAGGTCCATTTTACAAGCAGGCTTCATTAGAACACAATCCAATTTACAAGCAGCTTCAATAGTACACAGTCCAATTTACAAGCAGGCTTCATTAGAGATGTACGGTCTGAAGCGGACTGCAGTTGTGGACATCGGATTAAGGACATCGTTTAGGGACTATCTCAAAATACTTATTGATTTAAAGTAATACCGTAAAACGAAGTTTTCATAAATCTTTATTTTTCGTACTTTAATTTGAACTTTACATAATAAGTCCAATTTGCTTCCTTCTGCATACAAGTGCAGCACATATCTTAACAGTTCTAGCTAGCAATCGCCTCGGGTGGCGCCATACGGTACTAACACTTGAGTAACATTTAATCTCTCCGATAGCGTGTTCCACCAAAACTCTATAACGCTTTACGTAACGATTAAAACGTAATGACTGCCGTCGTTCTACACCATGTTTTCTTCTAATCTGTGCAGCGGAATATGGAGTAAGAACGGGATACCCGTTTGGGTAAATTTTGTCACCTAACAAAAAGCAATTATCAGGAAATTGTAATTCTCTACCAATTTGTTGCATTAGGCCAAATTGCTGTGCATCATTTTGATGTCCCAAAAACCCAGATTCAACGTAAACTATTTTACCCGTATTATCAACTATGACCTGTGAATGTAAACAGTGATAATGCCTATGACCAGAATAATATTGTTGTTGGTTTGCTGTTGGTCTATAAATTTCGTGGCTAGTACCATCTATTGCCCCAACTTGCCCAGTTTCCACGCAAATTATTCCATTCATGCAAATTTGGCCAGTGAATATAATCAGATAATGATGCATCAAAAAATGGTAGTGCACGTTTTATCTCCTCTTGTACATTCGTCACACTAATGTTAAACCAAACAGCTAGTACTCTGTAAGAATGGTAAGTTCGTAACCAAATCAAAACAAGTAAAACCCGATTTCTTTTAGACAAAATGTTATCATGTTTACTTGGAAGAGGTATGATATTTACAAGTTCTAGGAAAGTCTCAGGACTTTCTCCAGTGGTTTCAAAGAACTCGTATCGCCGATCTGAGATCAAGCCAAACACATTTCTACCAGTACATGGACCGTCGGAGTTGGGTAAAAGCCTGTTTCTTACATCTAGTAGAGGATCTGGAGGTAGGCGACAGACAAGAAGTAGCGATCTCATAACACATTTCTGGTATTCTGTAAAATCGGGCGGAAGGTGGGCAAACAAAATAACTGCTCGTAACATACGTCTTCGTCGTTGGCGGTCCATCTTATTCTGAAAAAAATAGTAAAAAGATTGAATACACACACTGAAGTACCCGCAAAACTAACAGCCTATACAGTACTATGTAATATTGTTGGTAGTAAATTGTGCACGATTTTCACGAAATATAAGTAGTAGCATAAACCATCATTGAGTGTAGTTTAAAATCATCATATTGGTTTACAAAAAGTTGAATTTGAATTGTTAAAATGGAAAACGATGAAGGTAAGAAGTATTACTAATTTGTCATTCGTTTTATATAATATTATATTATATATAATAAATTACCTTATATCAATAAAAGTTTTATATATTCCTATCCATATAATACTAATGTTATCTGTTATAACTACATATCGCACGTGTATTCATTGTCATTAGGCCAAGTAAACATTGAAATCTTATATTGGGTTCCTCTGCTAAAGCAATTATAAATAATAAACATTATTTTTTATATTTTCAGAAACCATATTGCAAAGACGTAAAAGAACGGTGAAATTCTCAGAACAGGAAATTCTGTTAATTTTGCGGGCCTACCTCACTCACCCGAGCAAATGGTCAGAGATAATTAATGATGTGAAGGCGAACATAGATCAGCTTGAACAAGCAACCAGAAATCTGTATAGTTCAGCCACAAACAAACAATTGAGGGACCGCATGTGGACGAAATTGAGTTCACTCATGTCTAAGAGGCAGGAAAATATAGAAAGTGAACCAATAAGGTAATTGTTTTGTAATATCGAATTCTGCCAATGTTTATAAAACCTTATAGTCTAATACTTACCAGATTTACTTGTCCTTTATTACTGTATTTTGCATCATCATTTAGAGAGTGTAGAATATGTACACAAAAGTCGCGATGTTTCTAGTAAAATAGCTTGTGTCGTGCTTGTTTATTCTCTATACCGTCTAATATATTAAACTACGTAACAAACGTTGCGCATTTTAGTAGCCCTTGTTATGTTCAAAGGCTAGACTGTTCCTGCTGTAAATTAGCTCTATTTTTATATTTGTTGTTGCTTTCTTTCAGAGAAAAATTGAATGACATCAGAAACATGGAGCGGCAATTGGTTCACGTGCAACCAGAGCCCCAACCTCCACAGCAAGACAATGCAGCTGCTCCTGCTGTATCACCTGCATTTCCCAATCCAGAGCAACGTCCTGCACAGGACCCGCGAAATGAGATCGCTGCCGCAATTTCAAATGAGAGTGACCAGGATAAGGAACCTAAACCGTAGGCCACGGAAGAGGTATCTGGCAGATCTGGGCAGGGAAAATCATACCCAGTACAACAAATTTATAAAGAAAACAATGCCAAAGATTTTGAGAGAGCTAGGCATAAGTTCTGACACTGGGAGCGATTGAATTAAACCTGTAAACCAGTGCATAATTAAAATATGATGACAAAATGTTTGTTCCTTTTTTGTTAAAAAAAACAATGCAACAAATTTGCTTGGCCTTAGAAAATCGTAAACAAAAATATCTTGAGAAAACCCCCAATATATGTAGTGTGTCCGTTGTCCACATCCATGTCCGACTATAGCGCGTACATCTCTAATAGTACACAGCCCAATTTACAAGCAGCTTCAATAGTACAAACTACATCCAATTTTACAAGCAGGCTTCAATAATACACAGCCCATTTTACAAGCAGGCTTAAATAGTACACAGCTCAATTTACAAGCAGGCTTCAATAGTGCACATCCCATTATACAAGCAAGCTGATTTTACAAGCAGGCTTAAATGATACACAGCCCATTTTACAAGCAGGCTTCAATAGTACACAGCACATTTTATAAGCAGGTTTCGATAGTACACAGCACATTTTGCAGTCTGTCTTCAATAGTACACAGCACTTAATACAAGCAGGCTTCAATAGTGCACTGCCCATTTTACAAGCAAGCTCATTTTACAAGCATTCTTCAATGATACACAGCCCATTTTACAAGCAGGCTTCAATAGTTCACAGTTCACTTACCAAGCAGCCTTCAATAGTACACAGCTCATTTTACAAGCAGGTTTCAATAGTACACAGTCCATTTTACAAGAAAGCTTCAATAGTACACAGCCCATTTTACAAGGAAGCTGATTTTACAAGCAGGCAAAATTCAATGATACACAGCCAATTTTACAAGCAGATTCAATATCGAACAGTTCATTTTACAAGCAGGCTTCAATTTTACACTTTATTTTACAAGCATGTTTCAATAGTACACAGTACATTTTACAAGCAGGCTTCCATAGTACAAATCCCTTTTTACAAGTAGGCTTCAATAGTGTAAAGCCCATTTTACAAGCAAGCTTCAATAGTACACAGAAAATTTTACAAGCAAGTATTTATAGTACAATTAGCCCGTTTTACAAGCAGGTCAAATAGTGAACAGCTCATTTTAAAAGCAGGCTTCAAAAAGAGACAGTCCATTTTCCAAGAAGGCTTAAATAGTACACAGCCTAGTTTGTAAGCAGGCTTCAATCTTAATATTTTCAAGTTGATATCTTGCAGCATTAATTCCCTCTCATAGTATAGAGATAATTTCTTACTGCTAAATCAGTTAAACATACATGAAGTATTTTACTTTTATGTTGGATTATTAACAATTTCCATTGAAACCGTTTATAGCTTTTGTTTGCAAAACATTTCAAGATAAATATGTTGAACAAAGATGAAAATTTCAAGTATTAAATTTAATTAGTTAAATATTATCTCTTGAAATCAAACATTCTAAGGTAAACCTATTAACAACAGGGAAACAAGCTCTACTCTACATATCTTGTTTATAAATAATTTTTCTTCCTAGTACTAGACTACCTTCCTCTGTGCTAAACTACCAAGGCCTCTCCCGGGATCTAACCCACACCAGAGAGGTAACTGGATTAGAAGTCATCGACTCTAACCACTCCACCACGGAGGCGGTACTCCCATTATATGGCAATATATGCGCAAAAAGGCCCAAGTCAAGTGAAGTTTTTCAGCTCACATTAAATGACTATGTCACAGTACCTTACTGTACAGATCAGGGGAAGTTACTGCTTCAGATAATTTATTTCCTATGATGTCTGATCAGTACTTTTTATGAAACATATAAGTTTCTTATAGAAAACTGCAGTGGTAGCAATAAGCATGTCAGAAAAGAAAGGTAGTTAAAGTATGCATACATAAAAATCTATATACATGTAGATGTGAAAATTGTTTCTAACTTTCTGATAGGTATATCCACTTATATCAATCAATTTATATTTGACCTGTGATTCTGAAGATGTGAATTCTTTGATAGTAATAAAACATTTAACCAGTTGGTTGAACAACTGTTAAGAGATTGCCATTATAACTTTGTAAATAATTTTTCTGATAACACAACCCCTGTTTATTTCCAGGAGATATAAAAGGCCCTCATCTCATGCGCTCTTTAGAAACCCTAATATGATAAGAGGATAAAGTAACTCCCTTTTGACAGATTGCACACCCTATTTCTTGAAACTAAATCATGTATAGCTGTTTTCATCACTCTGCCAGTTTAGGTCAGGGCAATCAAGCTTTGGGTCAGGGCAAGTAATTTTCAGAAGTACTTACCCGACAAAACAACCAAATAAAAAAATTGTCAAATAGACAAATTCCAATGAATACATGGCGTATTACATAAAAAATCCCCATTTTAGTAAAGGCGATGCTTTTTTTTCCAAATTTGTTTTCAGTACCGGCATATGTATTTTTCTTTCATCCTAATAATACAGTTGTTAGAAAGACCACATTTATAAACATACAGAATTGTTGGAACAAATATGTTCAAAGTCATACATGTTATTTACAACAAACTAATATTACTGTAAGGCCCTTTAGGCTAGCTCATCATCGAGCTGGCTATTAAATAGAAAAGTGGAAAATGCCTATATGATCTTTGCTTAATTATATATGACATAAATCTTTTTAATATTTTTTTTGTGAGAGAAGGGGATGGGGGCATAGGGCAGGGGGTGGGGGCCTGTTAAATCACATTTGCCATGTTATGATGAAATGACAAATTTTCATAATTTATGAATTACAGATTAATAAGGAACATGCATCAACATTAAAACGATTTTTGAGTTCTTGACTTGATTATTGCATCTTAACAGAAATACATGTACCCGTCAATGATAAATGTTATCTTTTTGTGTCACTATCTAGTTTGCAGCCATTTTATGCAAGTTAAACTTAAATCTGCACCATGTCAAGAAACTGTAATCACCTTAACCAAGTCAATGAGAACCAATTAAACCAGTTTGCACTGCTCATCTACCCAATAAGATCTATTTACCTACAAAGTTTCATGTTGATATCTCTTATAGTTTCAGAGTTATATCCCAGAGAATATTCAAAGTGTAAAAATGAACAAAGAACAATAACTCCAAAATTAGGCAAGACAGAGTTATGGTTGATTCTTTTGCACTGCACCTCACCCCAATGAGATCTATCTATCTACAAAGTTTCATATTGATACCTCTTGATGTTTCAGAGTTACACTAATCCCTGACAAGAAAAGTGGACGGACAGACAGACAAAGCAGCGACTATATGCTTTCCCTTCGGGTAACATCACAAAAGTTTAAATGACATACATTCTGCAGACAAACATGAAAGCCATTGAGATCATCTAAAAATAAAAGGTAAGTCATATGGGATAAAAAAAACTCTCTAAATACACAAGCATCACTGTACTGCAGGTCACAACTGGAGCACTAGTGAGAAGATCTGGTTCGGTCAGTATTCCAGGTCAGGCATCCCTAAACACCAAACAAACTTCATTGGTACACTCTAAAAGTAAACATCTAGACACCAGGTTGCTAGGGTTAGGTATTATGAGAAAACAGGTATCTAATATCTGTTGCAATAACATATATACATTCTCACTCAAACAGTCAAAATCATATATAATACATGTACCTTGCTAATGCTAATTTGTCTGATACTACAAAATTTATCAGGCAAGGCTAAGAAAAAAGAAGAGCTGTCACAGGAGACAGCGAAGCTCGACTAATAAAATACTGGATGCAGTAAGGAAGACAAAACTATGAAAGAAAAATAAATAATGTATAATTATGTAATAAGTTATAGTTAAAAAATAGCATTTGTTAACATAAGTTCCAAGTTCAAGGGGGAATAATTCTGGAAATAGTCACACTAGAGTTATGAATCTTGTCACACAACATGTGTGTTATGATAAGAAATATATATTTGAAGTTTAGAGTAGATACCTTAAAAAGTAAAGAAGTTATAATATTTCTTAAAGAAAATCCTAAGCTCAAAGAAAAGAAAATCTTAACTTCAAAGACAGATAAATCTGAAAACATTACTTCAAGAGTTATGAACCTTGTCACATAAGATGTAATTGATGATAAGGAATAAGTATTTGAAGTTTGAGGTAGATACCTTTAAAACTAAAGAATTATAGTATAAAATAACATTTTTTTTAAAAATCCAAGTTTATTGGGAGATAATTCTTGCAATATTGGTATTAGAGTTATGAACCTTGTCACATAACATGTGGTTAATGATAAGGAACATATATTTGAAGTATGAAGTTGATCTCTTAAGAAATAAAGAAGTAACAGTAAAAAATAGTATTTTTTAAGAAAAATTCTAAGTTCAAGGGGAGATAAATCTGAAAATATTGGTGCTAGAGTTACATGTATGAACCTTGTCACATAAGATGTGGTTAATGATAAGTAACATACATTTGAAGTATGAAGTTGATCCCTTAGGACATAAAAAAGTAAAAATAGTATTTTTTTAGGAAAATTCTAAGTTCAAGGGGAGATAAATCTGAAAATATTTGTGCTAGAGTTATGAACCTTGTCACATAAGATGTAGTTGATGATAAGGAACATATATTTAAAGTTGATACCTTGAGAAATGAAAAAGTTATAGTGAAAAATAGTTTACTGTACCAAAACTTTTATCTGAAATCTGGACGCGGAAGCCGACGCCGGGGCGAGTAGGACAGCTCTCCATATACTTTGAATAGTCAAGCTAAAAATCAGAATACCTCGGCTTTTATCTTGTAAGTTGAAAAGTTGTGATTGGCTTTTATTGGAATACATCGCCGTGTATCATTGCGTTACAGCGCCAAACAAGAAATGATACTGAAAATTTTGATGATAGGTATAGAATTCTTTATATATTTTTTTCTTCCTTTTTCTTTTTAAATATACATGTGTAGTCTATAGCCGGGTAAGCTGAAGCCCAGAGCCGCTTTGCAGCCCAGGGCTTTTACTTCCCTGTACCATGGTTCCAATCCAAGATGAAGTGCACTGGGAACCAGCCTAAACGGACGCAGTGCATAAAAAATTAAATGCCCCCTTTAAAACGGAAAATGTAAAGTAAGAAATCAACAATTTTATTTTCATTGACTAACCTGTTCATAGGTTTTGCCTATTTTCATATTATTTTCAAACTAGTAAAAGGTATAGAAAATACCATGCTAGTGTCTGAAAACTTTCGCAAAATTTTGGGCAATGGTCTATTATGGTCTATCGCAACTTTTTGGCTTACGAAAAAAGGATAAAAGCCAAGGAATTCTGATTAAAAACAGACGCATAGACTGTTCTCCTGCATACTTCTATGTGAATCATATAGGACAGGGAACCAGAATAAACGAAAGCAGTGCATAAAATACGGACACTTTTAAAACGGAAAATGCAAAATAAAAATGAATGATTTTGCAAAGTGTGCAGTTCTAAGTGTATTGAAAACATAAAATGTGTAGCCACCAGTGGTTTTAAATTATAATAATACTATAATTTCTGTCAAAGAGCTCACTTTATTATTTTCAAACTAGTTACAGTAGACATAAAAATAATCCATTCTCCCTTAATTAATTAATTAAAACATAAGATCTTTTTCCATGTCTCTTGCTACATGATGAGTAGTGTTCTAGACGATGTCAAAGTAACATAAATATTTCCTCTTGTATGAACCACTATGAAAAATCTTCTCAGAGAAGTGGCGCGATATTCTAAACGCGTCGTTATATCAACAACTTGGACCAATAAAAACGAAGAATTAAAAGACCAATAAAAAAAAGGTTTACAAAAAGGAACGTAAAATACCGAAAGAAAGCTATAAAGCTATCGTCTTCAGGGTTCCCTCTGGGTCAAAATTAGTTTGCGCCACCAAATTCGCCAATCAGAAAAAGTTGGAGCCAATGGCTCCAAAGTTGGAGCCAATAATTCTGCAAGGGAGACATGCCTATCTTTCCTAAGATATGCTAGCAGTTATATATTATTATGATTACAAACACATAGTTATAATATTTCATTTTATTACAGCTGCACATGTTTATTATCTAAAATATAGACATACTATTATGTGGTTTTCAAATTCCATTTAAATAAATACACATGACGGCATAAATGTAATCAAAAACATCATGTTAAGTTAGTCATGGGAGGTCATGTTCTCCATGTTCTTTTGCCAGTATAGCAGTTCTTCTCACAGGCTGGACTGAGCCAAGATCTTTCCCAGCCTCTACCCGACAATCTGGTGATCTACAGATACAAAATAAAAAAAACAACATTACTATAAATTGACTTCATCTAAAAATCAAGGAGAACAAAAAATGAAATAGATTCTAAGTATTTTTAACAATGAAAAATATTGTTTATTTTAATAGGGTTTAATGCATGTGAATAGACACTTCAGCACTTTACATTCAGATATGAAAATATTAACATTGCAGTACAGTGACTTTAGATCAATCATTGGTGAAATTATTCTTTTAATTGTCATCCGATTTAATATTCAAACTGTAATTATTTTTAATCAGTTGACGAGTCAACTTACCGAAAGTTCAATGTTTGTCAACATCACGGACAATCTTTCACTTCTCTGTTCGCTACTAACACCTGTTGACCACACATGTCAGAGAATGCAAGACGTAAATTGTTCCATTTAACACATTGACACTTTCATCTTCACATGTTCCCGAAGTGTTACACAATTGATGACATAATTGATTATACGGTACCCGATTATACAGTTTGATAAACAAACTAATAGCGCGTGACCTTTCACATTTGGGCCGCTTATGTAATTGACGCGGCCGCTTATGACATTTAGTGTACTAGTTGTCGGATGCTTTAATCTTACGTTGGCATGCTTTAATCTTACGTTGGCGCCAGTTAAATTAGCCAATTAAAGATTTTATGCGCCAGAATTAATATATTGTCGCATTTGGCGCCATTGGCGAGCGACAGCGGGAACCCTGGTCTTTAATTAAATATTTTAAAAATATTGAAATAGTCCACTTCTGTTACAATATGTATTGAATAATTCATGAGCCTATTATGAGGTGTCTGATAAAGCTCAATTTATCAGACATGCATTAAATCAACAGAAATCAAAGTAATGAGATGATATAACTGTCATTCATTAGTACATTCATAAATTTGACAGAATCATTCATTTAAAGAATAAAATATTTGAAAATTGATGGAGACATCCCAATGAATCATCAACAGAAATTTCTTACCTTCCGTAGAATTTAATGTAAACCTTCCACGAGCAACAAATAGAAATTACAGAATATCTATTTTTAGATAATTAGGGGCTGCAAAAGGTATCAAATTACCTTTCTTTAGACAAAAACACTTTTTTACTTTGTCTGCTTCCAATGAGCATGCGCACTAAATCAACGGTGACTGTGAAAAAGCAATGACTGTGAAGATTACTCTCTCGGAAGTTTCGCGGAAATAATGTAATAACCGAAAAGATTGTCCCTCTCTTTTACCAATCAAACTCATTTATTTAAAATTTGTCGAATGATGTTCTCTACTGTGAGATAAGGTGTTTTTTACCATTCAAATAAATCTTACATAAAATAGAGACTTGATGAAAAAATGTGCATGCTAAGATGACTTGAAGAAGTTGGCATTGTGGGAGAAACGCTGGGGCATGAGTTTTCACCCAGAGAAATGCAGTATAATCAGGGTCCACAGGAAGAGGAACCCCATCATATACCCGTACTCCTTGAAGGGCCACACACTCGAGATAGACTCGATAACCAAGTACCTCGGAGTCCATATGTCTGGAAACCTCTCCTGGAATCAACATGTTGACAAGATCGTAAAGAAGGTCAACAGCACACTCGGCTTCCTTCGACGCAACCTGCGCATTAGCAATGAACAGGTCAAGAGCACAGCCTACATGTCACTCGTGCGACCAGGCCTTGAATATTGCTCCACCATCTGGAACCCTTATACCAAGGACCTTACACGCAAGCTCGAGATGGTCCAGAGGAGAGCTGCAAGATATGTGACGAACCGTTACCACAACACAAGCAGCGTATCCTCAATGATCCAACACTTGGAGTGGGAGACATTAGAGTCACGACGGACCAAAGCCCAGCTGACCATGATGTTCAAGATCACCAATGACCTTGTAGACATACCAGTCAGTGATTATCTCACCCCTGCCCCGAGCCGCACTAGAAGTGACCACTCCAAGAAGTTCCATCTACCATCAACATCTACATCGTACTACAAGAACTCCTTCTTCCCTCGTACAGCCACGATATGGAACAGCTTACCTGCCTCCGTTGCAGAGGCCCCTGACTTGGTATCCTTCAAGCAGGGGCTATCAGCCCTCACATTCTAATTCGCCTTAGGGGCCCAGCTACAAGTACCCACTAGTGATATCCAAGGCTGTGCCGGCAGCGGCCACCGTAACCGGAGAGGTTTGGGTTGAAGAGGCGAAATATAGCTGGCCATACTTTTTGTCTATATCTCTATCTTTGTACTATATCCAACCTCTTCTTACTTTCTCGTATATTTCTTTTTCTTGACCTAGCACCACCCGTCGCGTCATAATCAAGTGTGATTGCGCCGACGTACAATGTAGATGTAGATGAAGAATAATTTAACCCATGCATTTCTGCATGGTACAGGATATGGCTAAACATCAATATTATACTGTACTTGCTCCTAATAGTTCATGGTACTTAACGCTTTGAAGCAAGAAAGAAAACAACACACAAAACTTATGGTACAGAAATTGTCATGAGCTGTAACATATGGGTATTTTCTGCTGTATTACACAAGGAAACAACAATATCTTTAGTCAAAATCAGTTTAAATGAGCCAGACGTAGGTCATATGTCGGCCATTTCGAAAACAGTATGTCATCATTTAAATCGCGGTAATGGTGTTTTATTTCAGTTTTTTCATGTTTCAGTTCAAATTTCTACATGTTATTTTGCATAATTTAAATATTAAAAGTATCTTTACAGTGTAACTCAAAATTTATTTTTTCAACAAACGAGAACATTTTGTAATGATGATTGTTTCAGACGTATGTACACATTTAACGGACTATTGCTGCTTTTAGCAGAAGTTTGTAAAATATTGTTCTGTTTTACGTAAAATCTATAGATTTAAACTATTTTGTACAAAAACTTTGTTGTTTAGATGTTTTAATAAAATATGTCAATTCTTACCAATTTTTATACTGGTCACATAGAAATATGCCATTACCAGGCGCGGAATTAGTGATGTTGGGTATACTCCATATAACCTTATTTTATCCACAGACACTTGGAGTGTGGAGCTTAAAACGCCTTTAAAATCCAAATAAAATGTATATATTTGTCAATCCCAGCAAATGTACTGATCATATATATCAAAAAACTTAATATATTATAAGCCGTTTTGAAAAAAATCATATTTCAACATCTATAATAATACACAAGATAAAAATGTTCGCCGGAAAAAATCCGCACACATACCGTCAACATCACCATGTATTTCATTCCATTTCTAATATTTTCACATAATCCTTTGGTCCATCGACACAGAAGATATAATTCTTCACGATGATGGTCAATTTTAAACTTCAACGGTAATATAAACAACGCAACAGCCGAAATAAACATCAAGACTATCGCCGTTTTACTCCATTTACAAAATCTTTCTATAAATTCAAACGTGGCCCCAGCTTTGCCGTGTACAAATACGCCCCGCTTTGAAGTATGGGAACCAACATATTACCGAATGGCTCCGCCCATAGCCGACTGGTTCCCATCTTCAAAGCGCAGCGCATTTTGCGCTGATTTTAAAGGCGTTTTAAGCTCCACACTCCAAGTGTCTGTGATTTCATCAAAGGAAAAATGTTCACATTAGCAAAACACAGTACACATGTTTATAAATTCAGCACATTTTTCAACACGTATGTGTTTATTTATATAAAGCATTACACATGTGTAAATGAATAAGGTTTATACTTATACTCATATAAGTTATGTAGTTATTAAACAACAACCACATTAAACAAAAAGAAAACAAGATAATTGGTTCACAGTGTAAAAAAATGAAGAAAAGAGCAAAGACTCCAAAATTAGGAAAGGCAGAGTTACAGTTCTTATGCATTGCACCTCTACTTAATGAGATCTATCTACCAACAAAGTTTTTTGTTGATGCCTCTTGTGTTTTCAGAGTTAAGTCACGGGCAAACTTAAGTTCAAAGTGTAAAAATGAACAAAGGGCAAAAACTACAAAATTTGGCAAGGCAGAGTTACGTTTCTTTTACACTGCACTTTTACTCACAGAGATATGTCTGTATACTTGTCGATGCCTTCTGTGGTTTCAGAGTTATGTCCCGGACAAAGTTTCTTATTGATATCTCATGTAGTTTCAAAGTTATGTCCCAGACAAGGTTAAGTGTTTTAAAATGAACAAAGGACAATAACTACAAAATTAGACAAGGCAAAGTTACGGTTCTTTTGCATTGCATTTTTACTCTCAATGTGATCTATCTACCTTATAAGTCATCTAATTGATACCTCTTGTGGTTACTGAGTTTTGTCTCAAAGTTCAAAGTGTAAAGTGAAACAAAGGGCAATAACTCCAAAATAAGACTAGGCAGAGTTACGTTTTTGCACATTTACCCAATAAGATCGATCTACTAGTACTTGTGATATCTCATGTAGTTTTAGAATTATGTACCCGACAAAGTTCAAAGTATAAAAATTTAAAAAAGCAATAACTCCGAAATTAGGCAAGGCAGAGTGACGGTTTTTCTGCAATGCACTTCTACTCAGTGAGATCTATTTACCTACTAAATTTCTTGTTGATGCCTCCTGTGGTTTCAGAGTAATGTCCCGGACAAAGTTCAAAGTGTAATAAGTCCAAAATGTGGTAAGGCAGAGTTAGATTTATTTTTTGCACTGTATTTTTACTCAATAAGATCTATCTACCTACAAAGTTCATATTGATACCTCTTAAAGTTATGTCCTGGACAAGAAAAGCGGACGGACGGACAAAGCGGTGACTATAAGTTCTACCTTCGGCGAGCATAAAACAAACTCAGCTCTGTGGCGGATGGCAGTGGTCTCTGTATTGATATGGGCAAGATACTGCTGCCAATTTCAGACATTGAAAATGAAATGTTTTCGAGTAGTTGCTTCGCGTTGTGACTGTACTTGCTTACGAGCATTTTTAATGTTAATATCAATCTATCAAGAAATTGTACTAAAATCTAGAAAAGGGGTTATACCTCCCAGAAAGATTGAAACAACAAAATTATAAAAAAAAATTCAGGCTGGGTTTGATTAGGTCTGCTCATGAGGGCTAATGGGAAAATGCATCACACCTTACGCCTCCTAGTACTGGCTTTAGCGGTATTCAATCTTCTCAATGGACAATAAAACACTGAAATGAAGTACAAAAAATCTAAACAAAGGTTGATCCCTGGAAATAAGTCTAAATAAAAAATTAACAAAAATGCATTTCTGCAAATTTTAAACTACTTAGTTTCGGACAGCTTCCTTACGATAACTTTACTTATCCAAATTAAAAAGAAAAGCTCTGATATGATAAATTTTCCATTTCAATTGATTTAATTTATTGTTGAATTAAACAGTAAGGTATGCATGTATATTGCTTTGAAAGGATGCTTGTTGAAAAGAAAAACACAAAATCACGCTTTTCGATAATCTTAACTTTCGAAAAATTAAAAGCGCATATACTTGTTTTCTTAAATATTTCTTGCCATAAACATCACTCCAGGGTGCTTTGATTTTAGTTTTGTCGACTTCACACTATGGTATCGTTTGCTTATCTCCTAGTTTCTTTTGTGTTCTCATTTAATCTCATTGGAAATATGTGATTTAAGCTTTCAATTAACATTTTGAAAATTGTTTTGTTTTCCAGATATAATTGTTACTACATGTAGTAGCATTCTTTCAAGGTAAGAAAATAAACTAAAGTTTTGGTAATTAACACTGCCTTTGAACTTAAAACAAATCTGAAGAATTGCAGTGTGAGATTACCAAATGTCATGAGTCTAAAGAAATTAGAAATAGCTCATCAATCATTAGAATATTGCAGAAACAAAACATTTACAAATTATCCAAACTGCAATTACTGCATGTAATTTGTGACTTCCAGGAAACATAGTATTATTCTTGCAGTAGGCTGTTTACATGTTAAGGTCACATTAGTTTAAAGGCCCATTTTACCACCAAAATGCTTTTATTTTAATTTCTCAAAAGCTTTTTGTTTTATTTTTAGTGTCATGTTGTAGTTTTGAATATATTACTCATTGGTGAATTACTTGGATCACTTTTTGTTTCTGTGGCCTTTTGATAATTAATGGAGTTAAAGTATGGGAGTCAAAATACTACGTTGTTTACAATTT